GTTATTTATGATAAGTCCCATCTACTCTATGATTCAATAGTAAAGTTCTTAAAAGCAAAGCTGTGTCTCCCTCACCTTTGTGTCCCCATGTCTTACACATAAAGCCCAAAATGAAAATTGGCTTAACACTATCCTGTATTATAAGTGTTTTATAGTTATGACCTTTAAAAATTGTAAACTGGCAATAAAATGCATTTACCTGTATAGCCCATAAATTTTCCAGGGATTTCTTGATTACAGCAACGACTGCAGAAAATCTGCCCACATAGTCGGCAATGGTGTCTGCGCCTAAAGGTTGTAAATTTCTCACTACAGTCATAGCACTCTTTACATTGGCTATCTGGCATCCAGTATTGTTTCAGGTCACTATCCTATAACAATAAAAATGTGTGAAGGCTTCTTGAAAATACTGATTATTAATAAGCAATGGCAAATGAAATCCTCAAAGCGTTCTTTTGCAGAAAACAAACTAATTCAAAAATTCATATGGGAATACAAAAGGTCAAAATAACCAAGACAATCTTGAAGAAGAACAAATTGAAGGACTTAATATTACCAGCCATCAAGACTTATTCTAATGCTACAATAATTTTAGACAGGGTACTGGTACAAGGATAGAAAAAAATAAAGGTATGGAACAGAAAAAGAGAGCCCTGACACACCCTCACACATATATGGACTTATGGTGAAATTTATAATGCAATCAGTGGAAGATGGTCTTTTCAAAAACAATGGTACTATATCCAACTGGACATCCATGAGGAATAATGGAAGCCTGACCCCTATACTTGACAGAAATAATAAACCTTCTTGAAGAAACCATAGGAGAATATCTACTGCCCTGAACTAGATAAACACTTCTTAAACAGAACACAAAAAGCACTAAGCATAAAGGGAAGAAACTGATAAATTAGACTACAATAAAATTAAGAACTTATGTATAAAAATAGGGTGCTCACAGCTGGAGGAAGCACTAATTAAACCTTCTTTCAGTGGCATTAATGCCATTTTCATTAGGTATGGCATGATCCCCATAAGCGCTTAATAAGTAATCTTCCAAAGCCTCTAGACAGTACCTGGCTTTTCCCCTCCATGATTTCCTTGAGGCGTTTTAATACTGTGCTGAGGCTTCGAAGCTGAACAGCTGTACGAGGGTCATGACCTCCAAAGGTAGGTTCTGCTTTCCTTCTTGTGTCTGAGTTGGATTAAAAAAAAAAGCAACCTTGTTAACAGTCCCTAGTATCTATATACAACAAGGTATATATGTGATGGAAACTGCCTCTTATGGTTAGCATATAATTATGTTCTCCCATTCAGTTATATGAATTGAGAGTTAAAACAAGTCTTTACAAGGGTAAGAGGCTACTAGAAGTATTTCTTCTCATGTAAAATGCTCTTTTACAAACAAGTAAAGGCTGCCTAAGACAAGCATTGTCTAAGACCATTGATGGTTTTCAGGCCTGAAATGGGAACATCACTTAAATGGTCCAAAATTCATTAATGACTTCTTAAACCCTTTGGTCCAACCTATAATAAATGCTTGCTAGAAATTTAGCAGAAGAAAAAGCAATCAGGGAGGGTTAACTGAGCTTGTTCTCTAAAGTCAAACAGGTAAGCAGTAGGATCAAACAGTTCAGTTCTGTCTGCAGACCATATATCCAAAGTCTCATGCAGAAGATGGTCAGAAAGAAGTTTAATAGCTCAGCCTTCAAAGATTCTGACAGACTTCACAACATCCAGGATGGTAAATTTTGCCATGGTAAAACTTGACCTATGTCCAAGCATATTAAAACTGCCAGAAAATTGCTAAAACTCCAATCTTATCCCTCCCTGTCACTTCCCCAACCCTGCAGCTCCAAATTGGAAAGGATCATTTATACCTGACATAGCAATACTGAACCAAATCTATCACTAATAAGCCCAAATTCCAGCCTCATAGCCAAAATAGGATATGCCCACCAAAGCTGTCACCTATTATTTCCTTAATGTAGACCAAAGACAATTGAAGTTTCTGCCTATTTCTAGCAGTTACAAAACCTACGGATGAAGCGAAGATAGTTTGACAAAAAGGATGAACATCCTATTAGCTTAAACCCATCAACCTGATAACCTATGGCAAAGTAAGCTGGAAAATACCCCACTGTGAATCTTCCTCAGATTTACCATTTGCTAGATAGGTGTTGTTTTGGTTGGGTGGGGAAAAAAAGAATTACAAAGAAATGAGAGGTTGGGATCTAAAGTTTACAAAGCATTTCCCAAGATTACGTAATCACTGAAGTAACTATCAAAATTGTACCTATTTTAGAAAACTCTGGAAACTTCTATCTTTCTATACAGTTATATCTTAGTTTTAGCACATACCTCAGATGTGTTGCTACTGTATTAGAATAACTAAACTTGAGTCTCAAAACAAAAAGCAACTCTCCATGATATACAAGTTGAAAAAGGAGACAGATGAAGCTACTGGAAACATAATGGCTGTGCTCCTGAGCAGCAGGCACCAACTTGTTAAGTCCCTTGCATTTAGCCAATTAGGAATATAAGAAAGTATTAATAGCATCATCCACTGAAAAAGGATGAATGAGACCCTTCTTGGAACCAAGAGAATCACAGATGTTGGCTGAAGATGAAAGAGACCCAGAGAGAAAATCTGGTCTAGCTTTATGCCCTTAGGCAAATAGCCTTAGCTGCTTCTCTTGCCAAATGAACATTAGAAAATTAAATAACTTTCCTAAGGTCAGAAAGCTAGCAAATTGTAGAATTACAGCCCTTTTAATAGGGAAAAGAACGTGGCTGGCCAAACAACACCAGGCTTCTGAAGCTCAAATGCCTTCAAGATAGAATCAAATAATCAAGTAGACCTGAGAAAGAACAATAAAGAAACTAGACATTAAAGGCTCCACCTGGAGATATTAAAGTTCAAGTTGATCATAACACCAATGGCAAGGTTTGGCAGGCTGCCAATTTGTAACTCCTAAAAGATTACTTTCTAGTCTAACTTGGTTTTAGGTAAAACAAATCCTACACTCAATTCAGCACGGGATTGAGTCAAAAGAGCTCCCTCAACAAAAAAGAGTGTGGTTGTGGGTCAGACTCAAGAGCTAAGGAGAGTTTACTGAGGCTAAAAGTTAAAATAGAGATTATGTAGAACAAAAGGAGAGCTCCTTTCTCCCTCTCCCACTCTCCATCTTCTGATTCTTCCCTCCAAATGGCTGATGTAACCCTGGCTGAGGCTCACTGCCCTAGAAAACCTGTGCAGGTGATGCAGTCAGCTCTGTGCCAGTCCTTGGGTAGAAACTCTTCTTTTGCTTGGTTTATCTTTGCTCTGGCTGACCAAGTCTGAACTCACAATAAACTATCCTTCTGCCAACCACCATTACCTGGGGGAAGACCAGCCAGACCAGACGGGATCTGGTGTTCAGGGGCATCTAATTCCCAATGCTGCATCCCTTCCTCTCTACCATGCCACCTCCCACTTCCTTTCTTTTGTCACCTTGACTTGGGCAAACCACTCCACCAAGTTGAAAAATCTGACAGAAATAAAATATAAACCACCTCTCTTTCTCTAATCTCTCAATTCTGACACCAGTCCCCAGCCCATACTCATCAGAAGAGCATGAAAATGAAGATGACTGTGTAGTAGACCAGAATGGAAAACAGACAGATGAGAGGAGCTCAGCTTATTCAGCCACACTGACAGTTTGCACCCCAACAAGGACAGAAGGCCAAGAGCAAGTGGCAGCCCACTAATGGAGTTGACAGAGTTCTGCAGCCAGAGGCATGCATATCACATTTCACTAGCATCCCAAGAACATATGCAAAATTCATTCACAAAGTGGAAACTAACCTGTGTTCTCCTGGGGATGTTGCAAACTGTTTTCTGCTGAAACCCAAGCAAGTAATTAATCAAAAAACAGTCAAGAGATCTGTGCCTTGCCTAAATTAAAGTTTAATGACACGTTTAAGAATTTTTTCAGGTGCCAATAAATTCTTTCACTACCTAGGTAACAGTTTTATTTACTCTGAACGATACCTATTCCAAATAGTACCTGACTACTCCAAATAGCAGGAAAGTTAAGTCCTGCTATAAACAACCTAGAAAACACAATGACTGTGGAAAAATTTAGCATATAGAAGGGAATGAAATAAGAACACTGTTTTACCTAATGCTGAAGAGCGCCGGTGGAGTTCCTCATTAAGTTGTTTTTTATAAGGTGTGGGTGACCTAACAGACTGTGTCCTTGAAGGGAGCTGAGGGCTGGTCCAACTTCCACTCAAAGGCTGCTGTTCTCCCTGGCCTCCTTCTGCTCTCTCTGTAGCAAGGGAACACTTGGCATTACTTAAAAAACTAAGACTAAGAGTTCAGCAATCAGAAGGAAGTAGATGAAATTTTCAGGCAACAATGTATACGTGTATTATATGCATAACTAAAAATTTTTTTTTTCTTTTTCATGTATTTAATTTTAAATACAGGCAGGTCTCCCCATGTTTCCCAGACTGGTATTGAACTCCTGGCCTCAAGCAATCCTCCCACCTCAGCATCCCAAAGTGCTGAAATTACAGGCAAAGGCTACTGTGCCCAGCCTAGATTTTAAAAAAAGAAAATTCAAAGAAGGGGGCAAAATTACAGGCCAATAATCACACCCTTGGTATATATGATCTTCTATTTGTTTCACTTTTCATTAGAAATTTCTTATGCATATTAAAGGAAACAAAATATAAGCTTCATATGAAGGCAGGGATTTTTGGGATCTGTTTATGTGACAGATCCCTTACACTATTAAAACAGTTTCCAGCACAAAGGAGGTACCCAATAAACATTTGCTAAATAAATAAAAATTTTATTGCCTTATGACAACTCAGTGTAACGTGGTATGATAAACAGGATCCTGGAACACAAAAAGAACAAGTGGTGAAAACTCAAGAAATCTAATAAAATACGTAATTTAGTTAAAAATCTATCAATAATAGTTCATTAATTGTAACAAATGTACCAGACTAATGTAAAATGTTTATATAAGGAAAACTGGGTATGGGAGTATATGGAAATTCTATCTTCCTAGTTTTTCTATAAATCTAAAACTCTTCTAAAAAATAGTTTATTTTTTTAAATATTGTCTTAAAAATGTACTAAAGGGTTTTCATAGCACTTTAAACATGATCATAAATAAAATCCAGTTAATATTATTAAAGGTTCTACTGAGCTAATTAATACTATTAACCTCCCCAAATGCTTTACAAGAATTACTTTCTAACATACTTCAAGTAATACAGACAAACGAAAGACAAACAACATAGGCCATGCTTTTTTTAATTCTTGTTCCAAATAAAAGACATATTACTTAAAAAGAGCTCATTTTAAAAGTATCTTTTCATTTGATGTCATTACATGTACACCTTAGTCTAACAGTTTTAAGTCAACAAGAATCCTAATGACAGCTTCCAGTTTTTGAAAAGTATAAACCTTTCCTCCTGCGTACTGTTCCTTTTAGTTTCATTGCTTTAAATATTTTAGCTATTAACCCCCAAAAGAACAAAGTCCATTCTATGAACTAATTTGAAGTATATTAACAAAAAAAGGGCCAGGCGCAGTGGCTCACGCCTGTAATCCCAACACTTTGGGAGGCCGAGGCGGGCCTGTCTCTTATACACATCTAGATGTGTATAAGAGACAGGACTACAGGCGCCCACCACCATGCCTGGCTAATTTTTTTGTATTTTCAGTAGAGACAGGGTTTCACCATGTTAGCCAGGATGGTCTCGATCTCCTGACCTCGTGATCTGTCCACCTCAGCCTCCCAAAGAGCTGTGATTACAGGTGTGAGCCACCACACCCAGCCTAACATGTAGTTTTTAATCTAGACCTTTAGTTACCAATAATTAATGATATTACAGTGAAAATTCTAGCTTTCTCTTCAGCAGTAAAACCTGGTGACCTACGATTAAAGCTATCAGCTTGTTAATATTTCACTTTCTTACAGACCCAACATTAAAGCTGAACAGACTACTGACCACTATATGATCATGGTGAGCTAATAGAGACAAAGGAGTATTTCAAAGAATCAAACCTGAATCAAACCTCTCATATTTAATATGTCTTACCTTTGTTAAAACGAAAGAGATTTACAAAAGAACTATAAGCTGATTTAAAAGGGGGCTCATCTTGATCAGGAGTCAAAGGCTTAAAGTGTGTGAGATGAGAAGGACTAGTAGGAGATCGAGGCAAATCATTAGCAGAGTCCAGTGTTGGGGACGTCTTATCATCTGTGGCCATTTCATGAGTCTGAAAAACAAAAGAAACAAGCAAAAGATCTAAGTTCCTCAGGAAGCTCAAAAGTTGATTCCAAACAGCATCCCAATATCTAGAAAATCCTATTCTGTGAAAATTCAGATCTATGAAAACAAACAGTAAATAAATCTAGCTTCATATATTCCAAAGGACTGAAAACACTGCTGTCTAAATCATAAGAGCCTCAATCATTTAAAAGTATGATCTGATAGCCAACTCAATTTTAAACATTACTATTCAAATTACAGAAAATATTTAAATTAATAAAAATTTGGAGGTAAAGCATTAATGTAAGCAGGCAGAAAGAAAAATAAGCATTTTCACATCATTTCTATCTCTTTCATTTTAACATGTTTTGGAAGAAGGGATACACAACAGCTTTTTAAAGTTATGGGGGGAAGCTAGTTATACAACACACATATAAATTCTTCAGTCTTATTTTACTTATTTCAACTTTTTTTTTTTTTTT